CTTTTCCAGTCAGTGGGAACTTCACCGGCCTGCCACGACTTCTCAAATACAATGGATAGTGGCTTAGCAACTTCATCTGCCAGTTCCTTCAGGACCCGCAGATGGATCTCATTGGGTCCCATGGACTTGTGCACCTTCAGGTGCCTTAGATGGTCTTGAACCTGATGTGTGGCGCGGCTCTTCATTCCCCCAGTCCCCACCTTTGCCTTCTGTGGCTTGGGCGGTGAGGCTTGAGCACTTGCCGGTGAAGACTGAGGCAAAAAAGTCATTGATGTATTGCTAACTTCTACTCAGATATGCTCCATTAAAAATGGTTCAAGCATGGAAATATCTGTAATAAAAAATAAAATATGCATATCCCAGTGAATGCTAATGTCAACAATAAATTTAATTTTTCTGTGATATTTCATGAGTATTGCGGAAGTGTGACACAAACGATTTTTCATGGGTTGCAGACAAGTAGGAATCACGGCAGAAAAGCCCATTAAAGGCAGGTGACCACGTTGTGCAATTCAGGAAGACACTGATCAGTCTTCAGCCACCAATGTCAAGATTAGCTATAGAGGGAAATGCCAATTAAAGAGCATAGTTAGCCAAAAATAAAGACCGGGGTGGACAAATGTCCATCGTTACACAGAAAGAATTTGTATTAAGAACCTCCCTTTCTGTGCAGAGACATGCAACAATGTTCTTTAATGCACCAGAGTGTCCATTCATCTTTCTTCTGGGTCTGTTTTTTTCCCAGATTCAGACATGTTGCCTTCCAGTTTCATACATTCCACATTGTGTTGGATCTTCAAACAGCGTTGGTGGTACTGCCCCATTTAGGTAGAGGTCCTCTCAATGCAAGTTGTACAAAGCTAGTGGTGATCAAAAGCGTTGTGGCCAGATGATAAAAAGTAATAAACCAATACAGGTAATGCAGTGGCTGGCATTGTGTTTTCAAAAGGGTTAGAAGAATTTATTAAGTATCATCTGTTCCTTTTTCAGAAAGGGTGAGTCCCTGCAGAGTTGGATAATGTGCAGTCACAGGGTCAGAGTTGATCCTGATTAGTCTGTGTTGTTAGACTACTTGGATGGGTGGGAATAGATCTTCATATTTATCATCACAAAATGACAGCCTTAGTGTACTCTCAAGATGGCAGAGGTAATGTAATTAGGAAATGTTGATGAGGGGTGTACAAGTTTGACAGGAAAATGAGATCCCTTGAGCAACTACACAGAAAATAAAAGGTTAAGCAATATATGCTTAGGCATGCAAACAGGACAAGTGTTAAAGATGAATCAGGAATAATGAAATACCTACTAACTGCCTGATCTGCTATTTTTATAGAAAACCTGCACCTTTATTTGTGTGGACTATGTTTTCAATGAATGCAGCATCTATGCAGACAGAGTACAGAAG